CGGCTGGAGCTCAGCAGTCCTCCCTGACAGCCCTGCGCCTGGGGCGGCTGGAGCTCAGCAGTCCTCCCTGACAGCCCTGCGCCTGGGGCGGCTGGCGGGAGACTCAGGAGGGCAGGAAGTGGGGTTGAGTGGGTGCAGTATAAGAGGGTACAACAGTCTCTTGAGAGCTTTGCTTTTGAGTTGGTCTTCCCTGGGAGCCAGGGCCTCACAGCAGACCCCAAAGGGTGGACAGGAGAATGGGGGCCAGGGCCTGGAGGGCTGGGGTGGCAAAGCCAGCTCCATTGCAGAGGTCATACTGGCAGCAGGAGGTGGTGGACGCGTGCTTGGAGTAGCCATCGTATACCGTCTCAAAGCAGCTGGGCACACAGGACTTGCTCACCTTCATCCGGTACGGGGTGTAGTCTGCAGCGGGCAGGAGGCAAGAGGCATCCCTGAGAGAAGCAGGACCCAGCTCGTGTCCCCGCCCCCCGCACGCAGGGCCAATCAGGTCCCAGGAAGGGCACAGGGAGGGCGGGAGCCTCTGTCCCCACCACCAGACTCACAGGTGCGCGTGGTCATGCAGTACGAGACCATGGCGGGGCAGCGCATAGGGTTGAAGCAGTTGTCTCCGTTGTAGGCACACACATGGCAGTCCAGAGCCTGGGCTGGGGGCGGGAGGTGGGAGTCACAGAACCCCGAGAAACCCCACTCGGGCCATCAGAGGGCACCCTGCACCCCCACCGCCAGGACAAGTCAGGGTCTGGGAATTCCGCCCCTCCTTAGGCTGCCGCCCCACATTCCAGGCTGTACATCTTTCTGGCATTGCCCACCTTACCCAGAGGCAGGCCCACCAGGGCCACCAGCAGCAGGCCGAGCAGGGGTGCCATGACCAGAGGCCAGGGGGCAGCGTGGGAGCGGGGAGGCGGGCAGCAGCCGGTCCTGGCTCCACTGGGCCGGTGGCAGGGGCAGGGCACAGGGGCGCAGGCAGGCTCTTCTGGCCTGATGCGGGTACACCAGCCCTACACTGAAGTTGGCAGAGACGTGTGGTCAGTGCTGGGCCTGGGTAGTCACCGGGTGTCCGTCAGGGAAGGGTCCCTGGGCAGGGCCGGGGCATTCCAACCAGAGGTCAGTCCCTACCCACGCCCAAGCTGGCGCGTACATCCTGCAGGGTTGGGGCAGAGCAAGATGGGGTGGCAGTGTGAGGAGAGGCTGCAGCGGCCGGATGTGAACCCCAGATTTCACTCTGGGTACGTTTGCTGCAGGGACGCTTGGAGAGCGAGCACGCAGACCCTGGGGCCCGGGGTGCAGCCGCCAGGACGGGCTGGGGTCCCTGCTCTCTACCCACCGCTCCACCTCCCGCCTCCAGGGGTCCCCTGTGTGGGTTCCACTTGTAAGGAAGGCCACGGGGGACAGCGGGGCTGGGGGGCCACGCCTGGCTGGAACAGGGCGCTGGGGCTGCCCCAGAAGCGCTGGGGGACACGGGACGAGGCGCCCCCCGTCTGGCCTGGGGTCTGGGGCCGCGTCCGCCCTCACCCCGCCTCGACACCTGGGTAACATTCCCGCCCCGGGGACAGAACCGGCCTCCCAAATCCGCTTCCCTGGCGCCCCGCCGGGTGCCCAGGGCCTGCCCGGGGCTGGGCCGCGGCTCCCCCACCCCGGCGCCG